TGATTAATAAAAGACTGCGTTATTATCCTTACCCGTTTTAAAGTTATAGCTTAATTTCTAAGAGACTGTAAATTTATCTAAAAGGGGGGGGGGTAGAGGAAAGAACAAAGGGGTAGGAGTGGGGACTTTTGGGAAATTACTCAACTCAACATGGTCTAACAGCATAGAAAAATTCAACTTTCCCATAGTTACTTACAACATCAAACCTATATTGACTGGGCTACGTACCGTCCATGAGCGCCTCGATACTACTACGAATTTTCCACGTTTACTCTTACTGAAATCAACGTAGCTCTGTTGTTTTTGCACATATTTCCTTAAACTTGGTGTTCTTGTACTATTTGTTAGTTTTTCTAACCATAAATCCTCTGTAACATGTCTTTAACGCGTATAATATTTCCGATATTTGATTTTAAAGTAGTTTAAAATTTTATTTTTTGCAAAAGATGTTGATTAGCGCCTAAAGTATAAGAGATAGAAGAAAGGTTGTAATAACCTTTTTGAAGCAAAATATATTTAGGCGTAGATAGACGCTTAAACCACCTTTCTATCATTAACCGTTTGTGAGTTAGACGCGGAAACGTAAACCGATGACCCGCGCAACTTCCCCCCCTCCCCCCCGAGTTGTGACCACCCTAGAAATGCGACATCATCGATTTTTTTCATCTACTAGATGTCCCCAACAATAATCAAAAGTCAAATTTTGTCAGACTTAAAGTGCATACTCAACCCGTTTAGCGCCTGGACTATAACCTAACATCAGTTCATTTATTTCTTCAGTCACTAGTCAGTAGGAGTAGAGAGAGAGTAGAAGTAGACCAGTAGAGAAGAGGAAGAGCAAGAGAGTACTTGTAGAGTGTAGTAGTAGAGACGCCGGATGCAGGCGACTGGCTACCACAGAAAACGTACTACTAGTACGTTTTCTGTGCTGGCTACTGGCTTAGTGGCTTAGTGAAGTGATTAACCCTTGCAGACAGGCCGCCACCGCCAACCACTGCGCGAGCGAACGAGCGAAGCGAACACCATTACCGCAACGATACATTGAACAGCCAAAAGCCGTAGGTCTCGGTGGTGTAGTGGATAGCGCAACGGGCTGAAAACCCGGAGCATTGAGTATAAACATAACTTTAGTATAGGATTTATACTCAATGCCCGGATGTAGCCGGTTCGAAACCTACCGGAGGCATTAGCTTTTTGACTCGATTGTTTTCATTATCAGCAAGTTTGGTTGGTTTGGTTAGGTTATGATAGTTTAATTTTATAATTAAAAATTATATAATTGATTTAGAGACATTTATAATTTTATTTTATGAACAGAACTATTCTTGTTAGGCCTATTAGTAAACCTTCATTCGAAATTTTCATTATCAGCAAGTTTGGTTAGGTTATGACAGCTAAATAAATTTTAATTTAACCTACAAACGACACTTTTTGACAGCGACAGTGATAGAGATAACAATGTCCCACAAACAGTTCGGCTAAGCCACGGCCGCCTTTAACTACAGGCCGCGGCCTAATAGAATTGGCAACATCGCAAGTGGTGTTGTTCAGTGACGGACGTCCCATAAGATAACATGGCAGACAGGTGACATCAGCTCATTAATTCGCACTTCATTGATTTAATTTTAAATTTATGAACATAAATTTATTAAAATATTGAAAATAAAACATACAGATTTGAAAACCGAAACAAATATGAATTAAAATCTATATCTGTACTTTTTTAAGCGGAGTCAATATTGTCATAGTCCTGTAACCAAGCTCTCGTAAATACACAAAATACCATTAGCTGCTTCCAAACAAAACAGCTGTTACAACACCACTTGCAACGTTGCCAGTTCGAAGGCCGCGGCCTGGAGTTAAAGGCGGCCGTGGCTAAGCACGGTATGATGCGTTCTGCACGACGCGGTGGTGGGCGGTGGCGGTCTGACGGCAAGGTCTCGTGGCATTGGCATGGCAGAAGAGGTAGACTCTAATCGGAGAGCACTTTTTCACCTCAAATTAGTTGACGAATATCGAAACTGGAAAATCGATACTTTTACCGCTCGATTGTTTGAGAGTAATCGAATCGGAATCGGAGTAAATTTTAATGGTTTGACTGAGACTGACTAAGAAGTTTTACAAACTCAATGGCTTTAATTTTAACTTTCAATAGGATATTAAATTAATATATTAATATAATTAATATTAAATTAAATATTAGTTAAACCTTTTAAGTGGTGGGCTCTTATAAAAGAGACCCCTTGAGCTGAATAAATTGATATTAAATAAGTTACTGTTACATTCAATTCAAAATTCAATACTCTTGAGTAGATACTATAATCATATCGACCTCCAGACAAAAAAAAGATTAATGAAGGAATCAGGATTAAAATTTCTAAGAACTGTGAGCAAGGTCATAATTTTCAAATTTTGTAATTTTTAATTCATCATTATGCTTTAAAATTAGTCTTATAAAGAGTTAGAAAAGAGTAAATTACACACCCTCTCAGGAAGGAGAGGAATTTTGGCATTTTTTTACAAGAGCTAGGTTGATACTAACAATAATACAAATTAGGTAATAGAAATGGCCTCCATCAGATGATATTTAGTTTTTATTAAAACAAATTCTGGTCAATGAACATAACCTTAGCAATAAACTTTTCAACTGTTGACATTTAATTTTATTCCCCATTACTACCACTGATAAATAGAAACTGAAGAGGAATTTGTTCGTAAGGTATTAACAAATTTATGTATTCTCTTAAAATTGACATTACGTCTCTAGGCGCTACAATTATAACGTCCATGTCACTGGCCCGGCCATGACGGAATTAGTACATAAGAATTATGCTAATATTTAGTACCAACAAACAAAAAATTAGTACCCCACTCGGTACCGGATAACTAATTAATTTAGGATTCCGGGCCAGTGACATGCTGGCCCGGCCATTTTCGAATTTGATCCTAATATTTATACCATCATTTAGTACCTATTTCGTACTATTTTGTACCTACATTAATATAATTTGTACCTCAAAGAAAACCAAGCTACGGGCCCGTTAACTGTAAAGGTCAACGACCCCTCAGCCCGGCCATATCGTAACCTATGGTTTTAAGCTATACTACTATTTAGTACTTATTTCGTACTATTTTGTACCTCCATTAATATAATTTGTACTTCAAAGATAACCAAGCTACGGGTCCGTTAACTGTACAGGTCAATGACCCCTCAGCCCGGCCATATCGTAACCTATGGTTTTAAGCTATACTACTATTTAGTACTTATTTCGTACTATTTTGTACCTCCATTAATATAATTTGTACTTCAAAGATAACCAAGCTACGGGCCCGTTAACTGTACAGGTCAATGACCCCTCAGCCCGGCCATATCGTAACCTATGGTTATAAGCTATACTACTATTTAGTACTTATTTCGTACTATTTTGTACCTCCATTCATATAATTTGTACTTCAAAGATAACCAAGCTACGGGTCCGTTAACTGTACAGGTCAATGACCCCTCAGCCCGGCCATATCGGAACCTATGGTTATAAGCTATACTACTATTTAGTACTTATTTCGTACTATTTTGTACCTCCATTCATATAATTTGTACTTCAAAGATAACCAAGCTACGGGCCCGTTAACTGTACAGGTCAATGACCCCTCAGCCCGGCCATGTCGTAACCTATGGTTATAAGCAATACTACTATTTAGTACTTATTTCGTACTATTTTGTACCTCCATTCATATAATTTGTACTTCAAAGATAACCAAGCTACGGGTCCGTTAACTGTACAGGTCAATGACCCCTCAGCCCGGCCATATCGGAACCTATGGTTATAAGCTATACTACTATTTAGTACTTATTTCGTACTATTTTGTACCTCCATTCATATAATTTGTACTTCAAAGATAACCAAGCTACGGGCCCGTTAACTGTACAGGTCAATGACCCCTCAGCCCGGCCATGTCGTAACCTATGGTTATAAGCTATACTACTATTTAGTACTTATTTCGTACTATTTTGTACCTCCATTCATATAATTTGTACTTCAAAGATAACCAAGCTACGGGCCCGTTAACTGTACAGGTCAACGACCCCTCAGCCCGGCCATATCGTAACCTATGGTTATAAACTATACTACTATTTAGTACTTATTTTGTACTATTTTGTACTTCCATTAATATAATTTGTACTTCAAAGAAAACCAAGCTACGGGCCCGTGAACTGTACAGTTCAACGACCCCTCAGCCCGGCCATATCGTAACCTATGGTTATAAGCTATACTACTATTTAGTACTTATTTCGTACTATTTTGTACCTCCCATTAATATAATTTGTACTTCAGAGAAAACCAAGCTACGGGCCCGTGAACTGTACAGGTCAACGACCCCTCAGCCCGGCCATGTCGTAACCTGTGGTTATAAGCTATGCTACCATTTAGTACCTATTTCGTACCACCATTAAAATAAATTTTACCTCAAAGATAACCAAGCTATTGACACGTACACTGTACAGGCCAATGTCCCCTCAGCCCGGCCATGGCTCAATCTGTAGTTATGAGGAATGCCTTTATTTAACACCGGCTATTAAAATATATCAAACTAACAAACAATTTTAAACTAGACTAACAGGAAAAGTGTAATATTTTAAAATTTAGCTTCACTTTAGTTTTCGTCCTACACTCATTCGAATGAACACATCGATATAGGCTATAGATTTTTCGATACTGTATATCGATTACTTTATTCGGTTACGTTAACCTATCCAACCAAACTTGATAAATCGAATGAAATAATCGATATATCGATCGATATGGTGAATCGAATGAGTGTGGGACGTCAACAGCCTGTTTTTTAAGTGCAGCCTAAACAAATTATCTTTCATTTTCTGTGTATATTATCAAATTAAAGTTGACCTTTTATGGAGTTAGGTAATTAGGATTACGACTCATGAAAATAGTGTATTAATAACAATCTTATGTTGTCTATATTTACATTTTGTCCTAAAACAATTCTGAATGAACTTTTAATAGTCACACATTAAAGAATCACACTACACTTTCATAAGTTTACATATTGAAAATGTTACTATTATTACTTTGAGTTATTGTCAGTATGCATAACGCCTTTCTGTACATTTGATGTCAATCGAACAAAGATTCTTTAGCTGTGATAATTTAAATGGAGTAAACTAAAACTTGACACGGCACTTGTTTACTAGGAGAGACAAAACTCTTCGAGTCTTTGGTGTCATCGTAGAGTTCCCATGTGTCGTTAGATCTTCTAGCGTATGCCACGTAATGTCCAACACTTGTAAAAGATGTTGTTCTTCCGCAGAACCCCAAGAATCCTCTTAATATATATTCAACTTCTTGAACTACTACGGTAGCTGGTAGTTCACATGGTTTCGTCTGAAACAACGAATATTGTGAATTATATAAGACACAATAAAATACCTACATTATATAACACATGTCGTGTGAATGAATCATGTCCGTACAAAACAAAACTCCCAGCTAAAGATGTCCTTTAAAAATAATTGAATGTCCAATATGATGCATTGCAAGCATTTAAAAACTTACGAAATATTTTTCTTACGCCTTATAAAATGTATTGTGGTAATTACATGGCTTTCCTATGAATATACGCAATACTAACAAATCTAAATCAAGGATAACCTGGAACAGAGGTTTTTAGTTCAGATAAACCATGAACATTTATTATGAACAGTTCAGTTATTTCAATAATACTTTCCTCTAAGAACGTTTTACTACTAAAGTATATACTTACTTCATATTCCCTTAAAATGCCACTTGCTCTGTCTGTATTAATGAAATCCACCAGCTCAATAATTAAAAAGGTCTTTGATAAGATCCGCTTCACTGTTTTGGACTCTTGGCATTTCTTGCATTGGCTGCGTTGGTCTTCAAGTGTTTGGTTTAAGTAAGTACTTAACTCCTGTAGGTTAGCTGTGAGGCAAATAGGTAAACAAAACCCTTTTTGTGATGTCCTGGAACTACAGTAGTTGCAATCTACTTCATCCACAACAACGGGAAGTTCATATAGTAGTTTGCTCAGAATGTGTGTCACTGTGCTTTCTGTGCTCATCAGTACAATGCCCCCCGGAATTTTCTGATTATTATCAAAGATGTGTAATAAGATTTCTAGCCTGGTTTTATAAGTAGCAGGTGTAACTCCTTGAGTGGCTAATTGCTGACAGAAATTAAAAAAGGTCTTTGTTAGTGAGTCTTTACAAAATGTTACCAAAAACGATTTTAACTTGTCACTGTCGTTATAACAACAAGCGAAAATTTGGGAGACACTATCAAATGCACATGTATTTGTTAATGTGACCTTCTCTTCGTCACCAGTCTTCAATTTAATTGGTTTCAATTCAGTACACCTGTTTCCATTTTTTAGCAGGCCAACTGGTTTTGGCCCTTTTCCAGATATGTTTACATGAGCAAAATCTGGTTGTCGAATAAGGTAAGATTTATTGCTAATTTTCTTTATCTTATTTTGTTCAATCCGTTTATCTACCTTATTGTTTTTTTTCAATGATAACTTTTGTGAGGCGGGTTTTACTGGAGAGTACCCAAGACCTCTCCAGTTTTCTCGAGATAAGTCTTCTGACTGAGTGTCATTAAAACAATTGTTACACAATCGTTTCTGTCCATATCCCTCTTCACTATCAATAGCCTTTGAACAGGAACTGAAAATAACATGAACAGGGGTGTTACATTTCAAACAGGTATGGGCTCCACCTGGAAAGTTGCCCTTTGAACACTCTGGACACACATCTTCTTGTACTACTGTATGATTAAATACGGTCGACACTGGCAAACAATCATCTACTAACTCTTCACTCCTTACATCCACCTCGGTCTCCTTTCTTAGCTCTGTAGCAGCTGCGAGCTTCAACTGGCCTTCAATACGAGGGATATGTTTTATTAAAAACTCATCAGCTCTCATAGGGAGTTCGTCAGACCGAAACAATACATTTTTTATTATATTAAACGCACTTTCGACTGAGGCAGAGCTTGCGGGATTCGATTCTTCATGTTGAAAGAAGGGGCACATAACTCCTGTGACTAGAGGCATATCTTTCATTAAATCTAAAATGTGGGTTATGATCTGGGGACAATATAAAGCATTGTAGTGTTCACCTGTTACCACAGGATTTTTTCTTACGTCGTCCAAAATTCTTTTGGTCCAAATAAAAAAGTTGTTCTTTGATTTGTCGTCTTCCACTCCCTCGTTGGTGTCTGCCCTTTCTTGGAAATCAGTTGATTCAAATGTCATGTTCTCATCAAAATTTACATTTGTTATAGACTCTTTTAGAAACTTCCTTGCCGTTTCCGATGGTGTATCATCTTCACTTACTGTTTCGTCACTTTCCACTCTTTTGCCTATTGTAGTGTTTTCACACACAAGGAATAAAGCCTCTAATAGTTTTTTGATAAGAAAAATGTTGTCACACTTCAACAACTGGACGATCGTCCGTACATAAAATTGCTTCACTCCATAAGTCATGTTTCTTACTATTTTCCATGAAGTAATGTTCTTTATTAAGTGTGCAATGTCACATCGTACGAAGGTAGGAGGGAGAGATTCTTCATTATCTTCAAACAAAGTAACATAGCACCTGTTTATATATTCCATTAAGCTGCTGCAGTTGGCAAAAGATCTAACAATACCCGACATAAGCGCTTTAGACCGGTCGCATACAAAAACATTTGGAACAGGTGCTCCAGCTCTTCTCCAATCTTCCAGCCAACATTGGATGGCAACATTGTCATGCCTCTCGGATAACATTTGACAGATAGGAAATGTTTTATTGCCAGCAAATACAGCCTGGTACAAAAATATAGATCCAGACTTGTTATTGAACGGGCGATGAAGTTTTCTGACGATACCTCCAGTGGCATCAATCGCAACTGTAGAAATAGTGCGGGATTGTGCGATTTCTCTGAAACAATTTAATTGAGAAGGAGTCCAGTAATGTACAAAGAATTTGTCAAGGCCAACATTGTGAATGCTTTGCTTAAAGGGGATTGAATATTTCACCCTTAAAATTGCGTCAATGACCTGTTTTTCGACGTGATCCTCTTCTTTCATTCTGTACTTAACACATCTCAAGGCATTTGACGATGGGAGGTGTGATGGCTCGTTGTCACCATAGGTCATAATGTTGTTGGCTAGCTTTGCTCTGTAGCCCCCTGCAGATTCAGTTTTTAACCCAATTCTTGCTTTTTCTTTAGCAATACCAGTTAACATTCTTTTGTCTGTAGCATCACATGTTTTTTTTGTACTTGTATACTTGCATCGTATTACAACTCTGAAAATAAAAAATAAATTATCAGTAAATACCCCCACCACAGCAAATCTGCAGACTAAGTGAATTTGCATTAGCCTGATTGAGTTTACACTAAAATGCCTCCTTAAAAATATCACATTTAATCCCTATTTAGATAGAATACGTTTAACGAGTACCTAGGTTTGCTGGGTACTTACGTATTAAACGGAGGCCACATTTTGTCAGCGCGCTGCGGCGGTTATGTTAGGTTGGGTTATCATAATATAAAGTATAACTAGTCTGGTATCGATTCATAACGAAACGAGGAAAGTCCTACACACATAATATTTACGATAACCCAACCTAACATAACCGCCGCAGCGCGCTGACAAAATGTGGCCTCCGTTTAATACGTAAGTACCGTTTGCTGCAACAGGGAGGGTAAAAAAGTGTTTTTTTTTTTGTTAAATGTTAATAGTTTAGTAAGAAATTAATGTATTTTCCAAAATCGATCAAAATCTATCTATATCTATCTATACTATTATAAAGAAGAGGTGGTGTCTGTGTGTTTCTATGAGATAATCTCAAAAACCACTGAACCGACTGGCCTCAAATTGCACACAAATGAAGCTACAGCTCTGAGGATACATATACAGTAGAACTATTCCCGCTTTGATATTGTTCTAGGGCTCTGCCCCTTGGGCTTTCAAAAATTTGAGGAGAGACATTTAAAAGTAAATATTGATTGATGGTATCCATGGTAACAAATAACACAAAGTTTAAAAATGTAAACAAGCAGAACTAACTAACTGTCCATTGAATTTGGATTTGACAATTCCACACAGCTGGTTTAAACATTTATTTAAATACTGCACAAATATTAGAACAGAGAGGGTAAGGATCATATTTAAAACTAGGTGTGCAATGCAGTCTTATGCTTGCAATATTGTATATTGTATATGCAATATTGTACCGTTATATTGTACTACTATAACGGTTATAGTAGTACGTTTTCTGTGATCCGAAGTCAATGGTTCATCCGGTTCTCATAAATGAAATGTCTACTTGAAGTATCTAATGTCGATGGCACATTTGGTTCACGTAAATGAAATGTCTACTTGCAGTATCTAAAATCAATGGTTCATGTGGTTCTCATAAATTACATTCTAAAAGTTTCTAAAATTTCTAAAAGTTTAAATTCACATAGAGAAAATCCCTGTGGTCCGATTTGTACCATTTCATATTTATACCTTCCCATGGTTGGTTACTATGACTGTGCTAAATTTCATGCAGATCGCTTCAGCCATTCAGGAGGAGTATTTGTAAAATAAAAGCAGGAGTGTAGTATAAGAGCTTCGCTCGCTTCGCTTCGCTCCGTTCAATAATGATGACACTAGCCTGAATGTAAACATTATTTAATATTACTTAAATGTAGCTGTCAAACCATATGTTAATGTAATTTCATTATAACATGATTCTTTCGGTTACATCATTTGTTTTTGTTTATAATCAATTATACTGAGTCTGTTCTAATATTTGTGATATGCTGTAATAATATTTTACAGTGAATATTTCATTGTAAAAAGAAATTATTCATGGAAACCTACGTTAACTGTGTAAGGCTTTATGAAGTTTGGTGCATAAATGGGAAAGTAATATTTAGTCAAACTTTTCAACCTCTGAGGGAGACACCCTGTATATACTGTATATTTTTATATCATAAATTAAGAGGTAATTTTAAGTACGATCGGTATTACTGGTTTGACCTAATTTCCTCAAAACATATTACGTTTGTAGGCCTAAGGGTGATTTTTAAGTTTTTTACATAATTTTAATTTATATTTTTATAACTAAGGCCCCTACCTTTCTCCTTCTTCTGGAACACTACTGATGAAACCAACAAAGGTGCCATTACAACCTTTACACGTACCATTCATTTTTACATAGTATTTTGATGTTTCTGAAATTACTGCTCTTTTAAACACTAAACAGCAGGTCTTTTTCGCTATCAACCAAAAATGCTCATTTACTATGTGTGTCCAAACATAAGGGACTAAACCTGTATACTTTTTCTTGTCAATCTGATTTTTTCTTTTATATAACAAATCCTTTGGAGCAATTTCTGACCATTCTTTGGGTGAGAGAGTTATGTCAAATGTTTCTGCCTGAACTGATTCATTACATGAAGATTCACTGTCAGTACCTGTAAATAAAAATGAGTATTATAATGTTTACTTGTATGCATGCTTGCACAAAGATCTCGAAAACGGCTTCGAAAAATAATTTATATATCTGACCTAAAAACGTGTTTACTGCAGTAAAAACTGCCACCAAAAATCTAATCTAAACACTTATGTCACTTATAAAGTAAGACTCAAAATAACTTATAGACCTACCCTAATTTGGATCACATCATTTTTCCAAGTTTTCAGTGCCTTCAGCTGTCAGTATGTTAAAATTACAAAATAAAAATAAAATAGTTCTCTATTTAGTTGATTCAACTGTCCGAGTGTTCATTTGTCCGAAGTTTGTTAAAATAATAATAATATTTGGTTAAATTAACTGTCCGAGCTTTCATTTTTCCAAGGTTTTCAATTATTTTAAAATATTTAAATAAAGTATCAATTGCCCGAGTTTTCAACTTTCCGAGTATCATCAGCGGCAAAAGTGACTCTAACACTGAGCCGCTAGTACAGTCCGCGCAAGAAGCGGTAAAGTAAGGTTTGGTTAGGTAAGGTTAAGAAATCATGAATTTGTATTCATAGTAAAGTGCTATGCATATTAAATTCAATGGATGAACGTCAATAAACTAACGGTAGCTTAAAGTTAGGTTAGGTTATACAGGGTGTTTTTTTTAACTTGCATCTTTATGTAAAAACCGCAATAGATAGAAATATGCAGTTGGCGGGAATCATCTATTGACGTAGGGGGCAAAATTTTTTGTGAATCAACGTTACATTTACATTCCCTCTTTCCCACAATAGCAAGGTACCCCTTGTGACATATAAAATAAAAGAGCAACAAATAATGAAGAAGCAAGAAAGCAAGGGGTACCTTGCTATTAAAAATAATTAAGTTCCGGGGAAGGGGGGGGGGAATATCTCACGTCACAATTTAGGCACGACACACGCGTCCGGTCCGGTAAAATCGGATCCGGCATGCC